GCAAAACAATATATACGCTAGAATGTTATTATGGTATTAATGTATTACTACTACCAATCACACAAACCCAACTTAGGAAAAAATTACTTGTATAAACACACTTTACTGGATTTGGATCTGAAGATTCATTTGACAGGATCTGAAGATTCGAAATGGCGACGAAGACGTACCGGAAGTTGGCACTTTGCGGTGGTGAAGGAGGAAGTGAATGGGACGATGATGCATACGAGGGTGTAAGAAAAGTGTGTGTAGGACAAGATCGCTCACGTATCACTTACATCAAATTCGAGTACGTGAAGGTAGACGGCGAAGTAGTAACACGTGAATATGGGAGAGTAGATCAAAAACCTAATGAGGTAGTTCTCCACTGCATTTACTCTCTATTTTTTTTCACATTAACACACACATTCCGGATTATGACACATCAACCAACGATACTAATACAAACCACTAGATTACAAAATCCAGTCAATTATTATACGTTCTGTTTTGTATATGTTAATGTTTTGATTGAATAAATGGCATTTTCACATACAGTTTGTACTTCAATATCCGGAGGAACACATCGTAGCGGTGGAGGGAAGCTACAACGTAGTGGCTTTGTGTGCCACTGAGGTGATAACATCCCTTGTCTTCAAGACCTCAAAGGGTAGAAAATCTCCAACGTTTGGTCCAAATTTGTATGGTAAAAAGTTTGTTTTTGAGGATGAGGGAAAGAAGATCGTAGGGTTTCATGGACGGTCGGGTAATGCTCTTGACGCTCTTGGAGTTTACTTTGAAGTAGACTCTCTGACCATGTCCTCGTTCCCTATTTACAAGCTGGAAGCCCAAGGTGGTACAAATGGGAGTGTTTGGGATGATGGTTCTTACGACGGTGTTAAAACGCTGCGTATTGGTCAAGATAATTGTCGTATCACTTATTTGGAGTTCGAGTATGAGAAAGGTGGGAAATCAGAGATACATCACCATGGAGTGAAAGGAATAAAACAATCCGAGGTAATTTCTTACTAGTTCTTGTACACGACTTGTTCAATAATTCTCAGAAATGTTATAGGTCTTGTTAGATCATAAAAATGTTATAGGTCTCTATTTATGTGTGAAATAGTTTAATAACAGAAAAACTGTTCTTCAACAAGGCCGGTCTAATGTTTTCGAATGCCCTATGTTGAATGAGAAAATTGTGACTTTTTCATATGTTTTTATTAATGAAAGAGAAACATGGTGCCTTTTTTATGTTAATTAAAATTTGGCCATATATATCCAAGGTTTGAATCCATGGTTTTGTCTATGTTTTGAACTGGACATGCTCCTATATATAAATATTTTTATAAATTATATTGTGGATTCTCTGGATTAGTATGAGGTAATATTTTTCACACCCTCAAAACCGGTGTTATTCTTGTATGTGGATTTCTTGCGACAAAAATCTTCTTGAATTTTGGGTTTTTCTTGCAGCTTGTGCTTGATTACCCGGATGAATACATCGAATCGGTGGAAGCAACCTATAATAAGCCAAACCTTTTTCGCAATACCGTAATTACGTCACTTACGTTCAAAACATCAAAGGGGAAAACATCATTCTTTGGCTATAAAGTGGGTAAGAAGTTTGTACTAGAGCAAAAGGGTCGTAAGCTCGTTGGCTTCCATGGAAAGGAAGGTAGCGCTATTGATGCTCTTGGAGCATATTTTGCACCTATTCCTATTCCTTCTCCTTTAATTCCAGCCAAGAAATTACAAGCAATAGGCGGTAATGGAGGAGTTGCTTGGGATGATGGTGTCTACGACAATGTTAAAAATATATACGTAGGACAAGGTAACGACGGTGTATGCTTTGTCAAGTTTGAGTATAATAAAGGAACAGACTTGGTTTCTGGAGATGATCATGGGAAGAAGACACTACTTGGAGCTGAGGAGGTCATTTCTATAATCAACAAGAGTTTTTGTTTGTTTGTTTTTTTCAAGTAATTCCTTAAATTGTTTAAACTTATCTTTGTTAGTTTTGAGGTTTTGCAGTTTGTGCTTGAGGATGGTGAATATCTCACGGTCTTGGAAGGATACTTTGATAAGATCTATGGAGTCGAGGCACCAGTGATAATCTCTCTTCGGTTCAAGACGAACAAAAGGGAGTCAACTTTGTTTGGAATGGATTCTGGTGAGAAGTTTTCACTTGGAGAGGATTGTCACAAGATTGTTGGATTTCATGGACAAGCTAGTGATGTTGTTCACAGTGTTGGAGTCACTGTCGTACCTATCACCACCACCGAGTGAAAGACCTTCTATATATTATATCTAGTAACACCAACGAGTCATGTCGACTAAATGAAACTTCCAATAAGATTG